GGGACATGTTGGTTCTGCAGCCCCCCTCACAGTCTCAGCTGCTTCTCCCTGTCTTCCTGGGTCAGGTGTTCGGAAGACGCCTGCGTCCCACACCCGAGTACCTGGGTTCATTCGTGGGCTCCAGGTCCTGGCTGCAGCCTCCTGCCAATGCAGAGCCTGGCAGCCGTGGTAATGGCGCAAGCACTGGGACCAGCCCTGGCCGCCCAGGGTAGTTGGAGAGTGAACCAGCACTGGGGAGCTGTCTCCGTATGTCTATCTGCCTGGCTCCCTCTACCTCTCAAATTAACTAATACAAATAAAAAAAAAAAATGGTAAAGAGTTGAGGGCAAACTTACTACAATCCCAGAATAAACCAGCCCCCCTGCTGTGTTTGTAAACCCCAGAATTAATGGGTTTTATATTGCTTAACAGTTGGGGAAGAAATTAAAAGAATATTCCATGACATCATAACATTCAAATATCCATGACCAGAAAGAACTGTTCCGAGGACGCACAGCTGTGCTCGTTCGTGAACACACTACGAATGCCTGCGTTTGTGCTGCAGCCACAGAGGGTGCTCTGCCAAGCCTGAAGTACTTCCTCTCTGACCCTACACAGCACAGTTTCCCAACCTTGAACTGGGGGCACGGGAGAGGTGCTGAGAGTGACATCGTGTTCTCTGGCCGCTCACAGAGAGAGTGAGCCTTGCGGGCAGCCAGGCAAAGCTGAGGGCCCACGCAGGCTGAGACAGAAAGGATAAGGCTGACCCCTTGGTCCCACACCATGACGAGCTGGTGCACAATGACCAGTCTGGGAACAATGAAAATGAAAATTGTCGCTTATATGAAAAAATGTACGTTCTTACTGAAAATACATTTCCAGTCAGTAGATTGGTATTTGACAAATTCCAAATCAAGAATCAGTCTGTGAGCTACTTCAGAAAGCTTGAGTCGGTACAGGCATTTGACCTAGCGGTTAGGATGCTGGTGAAGTTGCTGGCCCCTCACAGTGAAGTGCCTGGGTTCAACCCCCGGCTCCGCTCCTGATTCCAGCTTCCTGATAATGGACACCTGGGGGGCAGCAGTGATGGCTCAAGTGGTTGGGTCCCAGGCATCCGTGTGGGAGACCTGGATTGAGCTTTTGGATTCGGCCTTGGCCAGTGTGGGCAACTGGGGAGTGAAACAGTGGGTGAAAGCCATCTCGCTCTCTCTCTCTGTCTTTCCCTCTCTGTGTGTGTCTCAAATAAATAAATAAAAATTTTTAAAGTTAGTAGTAAATGAAACTGAACAATAAATTTATTTTGGTGCAAAAATATTTTGAAATCCATGCATAGTTTTCCCATAATCTGCATTTCCATGAGGTTTCTGAAGGCTCCTTGTATGCACCAAACAAACCTAGCTTTTAATTCCAGTTTCCATGAAGCGTGTGAAATACCTCGTATTTGTAGCCACTGAGATGTTGATAATTGGATGTGTTGATCCTGGAAATCTCTCCGTTTTTTAGATTCCATCCCATGTTTCACTGTTAATGCTACTTGGGCTACAGGGGGGAATGAGACAGAAATTGCCTCTGCCCAAATGGAACACAAAGGCTGGTACAGGGGTTGGCACATTTTTCCTGTAAAGGGCAGAGGATAACTATTTTTGGCGTTGCCAGCAGCTACTGATCCTGCACTGTAGCAGAATTTCCCCTTAGGCTGTAGCTTGCCCACCCCTGGTACAGCGGGAGAATCCAGTATCACTCAAATGTGCATGAAATCCCAGGTGGATTGAAGGTGGGCGTGAGCAGAAAGAGAGACCCCGACAGGAAGAACTAACCTGGCTGAGGAGAGCTCTCTGGACTGGAAACTGTGCAAGATCTCCGGCTTCCCACAGCCCTGCGCCTGTCTGACTGGCACAGTGTGGGCTCAGGAGTGAGGGGGACCCGAGGCTCCAACACCAGACGGAACCCCCGCTCCCGCTTCCCCGTGGTGAAATGCTGGTGGTAACAGCAGGTCCCCAGCACCAGCCCCACGCCTGGCCCTCTTCAGAGCCCTGCCACCTGCCACCCTCCTGGGAGGAAGGAGGAGTCTGAATGCTTGGCCACCTGTGAGCCACCGCGGTCTCCTGGCTTCCATGCGTCCTTCCTGGGCACTTCTGTAGCAGCCCTGGATCTCTTCAGCCGACCGCCGTCTGCTGTGCTGTCCTCCTGTGAACAGTTAGCGCACACCTGCAGGCCTGCCCTCCCTGGTGATCGCTGCACTGGCTTCACTAATGCAGCCAGCACCCGAGGGAGGGCCAGGCACCTGCAGCGTCGCCTTGACAAAGCTCAGTGGACACAGCCCCTGAACCTTAAAGCACACACCCTGTGAGAAACTGACGATGCGGAGATGGGTAGAGTGGTTCCTAGTGGAGGGAAAGGCTCCAGTGTTTACTTAGTATTTATGTATGTGAAAGGCACAGCTCCAGAGAGCTCTTCTGTCTGCTGGTTCACTCCCCGGATGCCCACACAGCCAGATGCAAATTCCATCCGTTTCCCCCGGGGGTGGCAGAAACCATTCTGGCCGTGGCTTGCTGCCCCCAGGAAGCTGGGTCAGAATTGAGGAGCAGCCGGGACTTGGGGAGCTTTAATTCACTGTGTTGCAAGGCCTGGCCCAGGCCTTTTCTTTTTATTTTGATTTATTTGAAAGAGTGAAAGAGAGAGGGCTCTTCTGTCTGCTGGTTCACTCCCCAAACACCTGGCCCAGCTCTGGCTGAAACTGGGAGCCCAGGACTTCATTGGGACAGGGACCCAAGTATTTGAGCCATTGCCTGCTGCTTCCCAGGGTGCACATTAGCAGGGAGCTGGAATGGGAAACAGGGCAGGGACTCAGACATGGGCACTCTCCCAGGGGATGCAGGCATCCCCGGGGGCATCTTAACCACCGTGCCCAACAGCTGCCCCACAGCGCCCAGTCTGATTGGAATACTGGGGGTACAGAGGTGTCTTCCCGAAGGAGCCGCATACACACGACCTGGCCCAGCACTGCACGGAGCAAGGCCGAGTGGATGGAGGTGGGGGGTGACAGCCCCATTAGCACCTGCTCACCCAGAACACCCAAGTTGCTACTTTACCTTAACTTTCCTTCTTGTGAACCAAAGGTGAATGTCAATTCTTGGTATATACCTCGTTATATATAGTAACTTAGTTCAGGTTACTGTTAAAGTTTTTAAAAGGATTTTGTTTTAAAAGGACAAAGGTCTTTAGAGTATTCTACCACATAATTAATTAACTATCTTTTTTTTTAAAGATTTATTTATTTGAAAGTCAGTTACACAGAAAGAGGAGAGGCAGAGAGAGTGAGTCTTCCATCCTCTGGTTCACTCCTCAGTTGGCCGCAACTGCCAGAGCTGTGCCAGTCTGAAGCCAGGAGCCAGGAGCTTCCTCCGGGTCTCCCATGCGGGTGCAGGGGCCCAAGGACTCGGGCCATCTTCTACTGCTTTCCCAGGCCATAGCAGAGAGCTGGATCGGAAGAGAAGCCGCCGAGACTCGAACCGGCACCCATATGGGATGCCAGTGCTTCAGGCCAGGGCTTTAATGCTCTGTGCCACAGCACCGGCCCCTGCATTTTAGTAATTCTGAAAAAGAACCTACTTCTAATTAAAACAGAATCCTGTTGCAGATAAATAATAAAGTCATTTACCCAGCCGTTGTCAGAAGGATCTTGGAAAAATTAAGGTCTGGACTAGCAGACAGTTTGGACCAGTGATCCTAACATCACCAGCAGGTGCACCCCGGGCCAATTCAGCAGGAGTCTCTGGGAGGTAAGACCCAGGCCTGTTTGTAAAAAATCTCTCCATCTGGCTCCGAAGTACAGCTAACTCTTGCAAACCAGTGGTTTCAGTCAAGTATATAACAGGGTAAGTGCTAACGTTATCAATTGGCCCAAATTAACCAAGAAAATACTTGACTCTGAAATTACCTGTTCAGGACTGGTTAGCAAAATAATGACCCACACACCACAGCAAGTGAGAACTGTTATACAGTACAAGGACCTTAGTCAAAACTTAACAGAGGAGCTGGCGCTGTGGCGCAGTGGGTTAATGCCCTGGCCTGAAGCACTGGCATCCCGTATGGGAGCCGGTTCTAGTCCCGGCTGTTCCACTTCCATCAAGCTCTCTGCTATGGCCTGGGAAAGCAGTAGAAGATGGCCCAAGTCTTTGGGCCCCTGCACCTGCGTGTTGGGGAGTGAACCATCGAATGGAAGACTCTCTCTGCCTCTCCTCTCTCTGTGTAACTCTTTCAAATAAATCTTTAAAAAAAAAAAAAAAAAACCGGGCTGAGCTTGGGCAAACATGTATTTTTTTTTTTTTTAAGATTTATTTATTTGCTTGAAAGAGTTACACAGGGAGAGGAGAGGCAGAGAGAGAGAGTCTTCCATCCACTGTGTCACTCCCCAGATGGCCACAATGGCCGGAGCTGTGCCAATCTGAAGCCAGGAGCCAGGAGCTTCCTCCGGGTCTCCCACACGGGTGCAGGGACCCAAGGACTTGGGCCATCTTCTACTGCTTTCCCAGGACATAGCAGAGAGCTGGATCAGAAGTGGAGCAGCCGGGACTCAAGCAGGCGCCCATATGGGATGCTGGCACTGCAGACAGCGGCTTTACCTGCTATGCCACAGCGACGGCCCCACGTCGTATATTTTTAATGACCATGTTTTAACAAGTTATTTAGAACATTAGAACTGTGGTGGCTATGAACTGGTTATATAAAAGCAAATTAAAAATACAGATACGTGGCCGGTATTCCTGACAGTCTTTGCTGCTGAGGATCTGTCATCCTAATGTCTTGCATGGTTTCCCCCTCTGTGTTTAGAGCTTTTTAAATGGCTCTAACTGTGGCAGGAGCAGGTGATACAGTCCTGGTAATCAGATACATATACTTCCCGACACCAGACGACACAATTACTTTGGCCAACTCAGAATTTTAATGAACTCTAATAAACACCCAAACCTGTAGGAAATAACAAAAAAAAACCTGACATTTTATTTTTATTCCTACAGAAAAGGATCAGAAGAGTACCAAGAAAGTTCAGTTCCCGCATGCAAAACACATCAGGAAAAAGGCATTAGCGAAGACCACCTAACAAGGTAACTCTAGGACACAGCGGTCGTGAACCCCGGAGGCAGAAACAAAGCCACAGGAAAAGTGAGTGCACTTGCTTTCATGTACTGTAACTGTTAATGCCAGTCTTAAAAGTGTGAGGTTTAACTCACTCTCCCAACCCCACCAAGCAGAACCAGGAGAGCCTTCTACATAGTACAAACGGATAAACACGGTCAGATTAGGCTAAATGCTAAAATGTTTTATTTTGCTCCCATGATTGTAAGCACGAGTCTTCTGAAGCCTTCAGAATGTAAACATCACAGCACTTCCCAACAGCCGACCACAGGGAACGGTTCGTGTGCTGTGTGTATTTTACATTTCCTTAAATCTCAGAAGCCATCAACAGTAAGATGCATCCTAATTCAGAGATGTCACCATGTGAAAAAACAGCTCTTAAGGACCAATAAAACATGGCAGCATCTGTCATGTATATGTGTGTGTATAAATCCTTCAAATATGTGGGTATATGTATTTATTCATTTGGGAATGAATACATTTCTTTAAAGTTTACATTCTGAATTTAGTGTGTCAAAAAATGCCAGTATATTTGAGAATTATCGTAGCTAAACTCTTTATTACTGTTTTCTTTACAGGAACAATAATCTGAACACGTCTTCCACCAAATCATCCACAAACAGAAAACCTGTTATATAAATTATGTTCTATTTTTGTGATATAATCAGAATACTGTACTGGTGAAAATAAATAGATAACACAAAGCTGCATCAGAGCCCACAAGTATGTTTGTCCTTGGATTTGTCACAGAGTGAAAGGAGATGACACATAACAGGCACACACAATTACTACTGCCCAGGATCTCAGATTACACTTGCTGGAAGGCCTCCTTATGAAACGGGGACAGCCACAGGCACACAGGAGAGTGGTTCTGCTCTGAGAACAGCTGGACTGCTGAGGCAGGAGCTTCTGCAGCTCCCTGGTGCCCTGGAGGCTGTGCCAGGTCATGGAGCACTGCACACCCTGTGTCCTGACCACAGGGGAGGCTGTGCCAGGTCATGGAGCACTGTGCACCCTGTGTCCCCACCACAGGGGAGGCTGTGCCAGGTCACGGAGCACTGCGCACTCTGTGTCCCGACCACAGGGTCTGCTGAGAGGAGATAGCACACCCCGAGCATTCGCTCCAAGCAGGACGGAGCGGCGCTGACACTTTAACACGTCTTCAGGGTTCTGTAAATTGAGAGCTTCTTCGCTGTTGGCGTTCTACGTTCAGTGTCCGTTGGCTCCCTCTGAGAGTATCCGTGAAGGCTCCGTAAATTTGGCGGTGAATAAGTAAAAGAGGGCGGGTGCGGGCACCAGGGCCAGGAGGGGCAGATCTTGCTCGAGCTTCTCCACCCTGGAGATGGAGACTATTCCGTAGGCGTGCAGCAGCCAGTGGCTGAAGAGAACGAGGAGTCTTTTCTTCCTGACCAGAAGGTCGTAGCAGCTCTGCAGTTTTAAAGAAAGGAGAAACACAGGTTATCAGGTAGAGTCACCCGGATAACTGAATGCAGTCTCATGTAAAACGTATTTGTTGACACCCACAATCCTAGGCTTACGATCAGGCCAAGCTGCAAAGACCGTCTCTCGGTCACCCGCCCAGGGACCGCCCTGCTGGTGAGGACACTGAGCCTCCCACAGTCACAGAGGCGCCCAGGGCTGCAGGGGACTCAGCCACAGCACCACGCCGGGAAACGGACGGGACAGGGTCCTGTGTCCCTGTTTCTCCCCGCCCTGATCCGCTGTGGCTCCGAGTCCGCAGGGGGAGCTCGGAGCTACACAAACCCAGCTTCCTTCCCTGCCTGGAGGGTGAGAGGCGGCAGCAGGGAGACGTGGACGCGTCCCTTTCTCTTACTCGTTAATAAAGCTCCAAGCGGTGCAGAAAGGGGAAGGACCCATTAACACTACCGTGACATGGACGGTGCGCACAGACACTGGGATGGAAGGGCAGTACCTTAGTCCCAGCAGCCGTCACCACCCGGCTCAAGGACCACCCAGAACTACTGTCCTCTGAGGCAGTCCCTGCTGACGCCTGGGGAGGGCGCTAACTGCACTGTGTGGACGGAGAGAGCCACAGGCGCAGGGAAGTAGGCTGCCCGTTCACCTAGCAGCATCTAGTTAACTTCTACCTACACTCAGGATCAGGATACTCAATCATTTCTCCCCTCAGATCTTCCCCTAGAGCTGGCAGAAGTGTCAAAACTAATTCATCTTCAACTGAATCATACTGCAGAGCTGATGAAAGATGAATCATAAAAGAGAAACAAGCAGTCTACCACTGGAGACAAAAGAATCCATTACAAAAATACCACAGGTCCCTCTGATGCGACTCCACCTAAAAGTCACAGTGATCTCCAAGTCTTCTCTCATCTCACTCTCACACTAGTGCAGTAGGAAAAGCGCCACGGCCAGCAGCCTCTCCATGGCAGGCAGGCAGGCAGCAGCCGACTCCTGAGGCCTCTGTGTCTTAGGATCATGAGAAACACAGGTCCCACCAGCCGTGCCGCCAGGGCAAGCCCTCTGTAGGCATCACTGGCAAGCACACAGCAGGAGAATACGAAGACACTTTGATTCCTTTGGTGTGTAGCTTCTTCCACCAGAGATATTAATGGAGTTAGAACAATCATTTGAATCTGATACTTTAAGCAGAAAGAGGACCACATGATTTTTAATATAAAATTTCAGAAGCTTGCATGTGAAAAAAATAATGTGCAAAAATGTTCATCTTGATTCAGCTTCATGAATATATTTTCCATAGAGTCAAAGACACTATTTCTCCTCACGTACGGTTCATATTTCTGCCTCATAATGGCTTAGTTCCTTAAAAACAGAATATTTAAAATATAAATGTGAGGGCCAGCACTGTGGCATAGAGGGTAAAGCTGCCACCTGTGGTGCTGGTTCGAATCCAGGCTGCTCCACTTTTGATCCAGCTCCTGCTAATGTATCTGGGGAAGCAGCAGCAGATGGCCCACATGCTTGGACCCTGCACCCACGTGGGAGACCCGGGAGAAGCTCCTGGCGCCTGACTGGCTAGCTCTAGCCATTGTGGCTGTTTGGGGAGTGAATCAACGAATCAAAGATCTCTCTCTGTCTCTCCTCTCTCTCTAACTCTGCCTTTCAAATAAATTAATATATCTTAAAAATAAATAATAAATAAATGTGATGACAAGATGTTCCATTCACCTACCAACCCATAAATGAGTCAAAATTTTTTATCAAAAATATTTGAAAATAGACATTTAAATAACAAAACAACAAAAAGTAGAGATCTTTATAATAGTGGCTTTCTACTGAAACTAAAATGTTGGAGACACAAAATAGATAATCTCAAAAAAGAAACACCCACAACTCAGTATCAGAACTAATGCTGCTATTGTTATCTGCAAATCACCAAAGTGCTACAGGCCAGAACTAAACTTCCAAAATGAAGAAAATAAGTCTGGGGTACAACAGGATATGGAACGCACAGCATGACTGCTGCCACTGTGGAACGAAACTGGAAGTAGTTCTACATATAGGGCAGCACTGTTATCCTTCTCCCAAAATACTGTTAGCAAGTTTCCACTCTTCAGTACTTAAGTATCTGCTGTGTGGTAAACACTGTGCAGTGATCTTTCTCCATGGCGCTGGACAGCTGAGCCTTCTTCACTACGTCACCAACTTCCCAAGGAAACACATGGTCCAAAATCCAGAACCTTCCGTAAACTTCATCAACTAAAAAGTACTTAGTACCACCCATTAGCCAACGATTACTAAATCCTATCATAGGTACTGCTCTATTCAACCGCCAAATTTACCAAAACAAAAACAAAACGCACTTTTAGACAAGAAAAAAGGCTTCCTACCTCTATTTCCGAAGCCGACATGTACACAGCCAGGGTAACCAACGATAACACTAATATAATGAACGGGAAGGCGTAATCTGAAAGACAAGCATTGGTATCGTTAGATATTACACAGACTTTCTGAATAAACCATCAAGTAAATTCAAGCAGTATAATTCTCCCTAGAGCTGAATCCTTTCCCAAGCAGTCCTGTGCTAGCCCTGACGTCCCAGCATGCTGAGGCCGGCGTCAGCGAACTCTCCAGGCAAGAACCAGGTAAGAAACACTGTGGCCTTGCCGGCCAGTCTCCGCCTCAATCACCCAGCTCCAGAACTGCACCTGGGAAACAGCCATGGAAAATACAGTCTGTTCCTGTACAGCTTTAGGGGAGCAAGGTCTGCGTTTCATGTAATTTTCATATGCCAAGACATGTGGGAAGCGATTCCATGATTTACAAATGAAAAACTACCCTTGGCTGACCTTTGAAGATTCTTGCCCAAGGCATCAGTGGATATCCAGAGTTGACTTCTTTCCTGTGTATCTAAAATGACACTGACTGAGTTATGGCCAAACTTGGGGAAATGGAGAGAACAGTTGCTCGTGGTTTTCTGAGGAAGGCGTCTGGCCTGGCGTCGACACTGACGGCCCGCGTCAGAGCCTGGGTTTGAGGCCCAGCATCGCCCCAGAGCCCAGTGTCCTGCTCGCTTGTGACAGGGGAACCAGCGGTGATGGCTGAAGCAGTTGGGTCCCTGCTGCGCACACGGGAGACCCAGACTGAGTTCCTGGTTCCCAGCTCCAGCCAGGCCAAGGCTCAGCCTCGCAAGCGTCTGAGGGAGAGAACTAGCGGATGGGAGCGCTGCCTCCCAAATAAATCAGATTTCTTTTATAAATATAACAGCTCTGTACTTTCTGTGGTTCAAGTGGGGAACTTTGGTTGAGAGAGGCGATTGCTAAGAGTGACCGGGTTCACCCTCTAGAAGAGTTCACTTATCAAGAAACCTCAAGGAACAGTAGATCATTCAGTACTTTAGTATCAAGATTCTACAAATTTCAAAAAAATTGTATAAATTTCTACTTCAAAACTCAGTAGTAACAGTTTAAACAAAATACTTTTCTGCAAAGCACTACCTTTCTCTTGAAACGTTTAAATCCACAGAATGTAAAACAAAGGGTGTTTCTCACAGTCAGTCTTCAACAGCTCAGTGTGTGAAGCTCCTGTCCCTCGCTGCAGCAGCCCCGCCTGGCGCAGCTCCCAGTGTCACTCAGGACGCAGTCAGACCGAGGCCCCTGCAGAGGCCGGACTCCAGCTTGCTGAGGGGCTGCATGCTGGGCGTTCAGAACCTTTCCCATCACAGCCAGCGACTGAGCCCTCAGGCAGCCCCGGCCCAGAGCCCCACTCCCTCAGAAGGGGCCGTACGTGCTGTGAATGCAGACCTAAGACCTGCTGGTAAAAAGCCACAGGAGGGGCTGGTGCCATGGTGCACTAGGTTAATCTTCGCCTGCGGCACCGGCATCCCATATGGTTGCTAGTTCGAGTCCCAGCTGCTCCTCTTCCAGTCCAGCTCTCTGTTGTGGACTGGGAGAGCAGTGGAAGATGGCTCAGGAGCTTGGGTCCCTGCACCCGCATGGGAGACCAGGAAGGAGTTCCTGGCTTCAGATTGGTGCAGCTCTCGCCGTTGCGGCCAATTGGGGAGTGAACCAGCGATGGAAGACCTTTCTCTCTCTCTCTCTCTCACTGTCTGTAATTCTACCTCTCAAATAAATAAATAAAAATCTAAAAAAAAAAAAAAAAGCCGCAGGAGGCAACAAGGAGGAGATGGGATGCTAGCGAGGCCCAGACTCAGGGGAGGAGGGGGAGGCACCGGGCTGGGGACAGGGAATCTGTATTTCAGTTCCCTGATAGCTCAGATGCAGAGCACACGTGAAACGGGTCTCAGCAACAATTCCAGGCAGGTCTGTTGGCTCTGCCATCTTCCTAATCATTCCAGCGTCTTCCTAGACCCTTGATCCCCAACATTTACCTGGTGGAAACTCCCTGCTGTCCCCCTCTGCTCGGATTTGCCGTGTCACTACGAACCAAAACTCATCTATTTTCCCTTTTCCATGCTGCAAAATTACCAGTTGGTATGATACTCTCTGACTCATCTCAGCAGTCTGCATGAGACTTTATTTCAGGCAAACAGTAACAACGACCCGACCTATCAATGCCTTTTAGTGAAGGCTTTTTACAAATTGATCTAAAAACATTCTGTGATGGAAAAGGTGTTTGTTTTGTTTTTCCCCCAGTCTAGGCGGCTATGATGGGCTAGGGCACAGGACCGAGGGCTGCCAGTTTGTAATCCTTTCCTGCCTTGACAGATGGTCTCCCAGGCTCCAGATTAGTATAAATTCACTTTCCCTCCCAAACTGTTTGCTTCCTCAAATTTTCACTGTTTATCTAACTATCAGTTACTAAGTCAGAAAGCTCTTCATCAGACTTTTTTTTTAAAGACTTATTTATTTATTTGAAAGGCAGAGTTATAGACAGGTAGAGGCAGAAAGAGAGAGGTCTTCCATCTGCTGGTTCACTCCCCAAATGGCCGTAATGGCCAGAGCTGCGTCGATCCAAAGCCAGGAACTTCTTTGGGGTCTCCCATGTAGGTGCAGGGGCCCAATGACTTGGGCCATCCTCTGCTGCTTTCCCAGGCCATAGCAGAGAGCTGGATCGGAAGTGGAGCAGCTGGGACTTGAACTGGTGCCCATATGGGAGGCCGGTGCTGCAGACTGGGGCTTTAACCCGCTGCACCACAACGCCAGCTCCACATCATACTCTTGTCTCACTCCCTCAACCCTTCCATTTGATTTGTTAACTGAAAGTTGACTTAACTCTGCCTTTGGAAGAGCTCCTCATTCCCTGGGCTGCTTGGCCACTGGGCAGTCAGGCTTTGTGTTTCCTTACCTCTCTCTGAACTGATGATCCAGGCTTTCTTCCCCTGACAATCCATCTTCCACTCAAATGCAAATCTGATGACCTCACTCTTCTCCCAACATCCTCTGAAAGACTAGACTGGGAGCTGGTGGTGTGGCACAGCAGGTTAAGCTGCCACCAGTGGTGCCAGCATCCCACATGGCCAATGTATCCAGTCCTGACTGCTCCATTTCCAATCCAGCTCCCTGCTAATGTGCCTGGGGAAGCAGCGGCAGACGGCCCCAGTGCCTGGGCCCCTGCACCCACGTGGGAGACTTAGAAGAGGCTTCTGGCCCCTGGCTTTGGCCTAATCTAGTCTCAGCCCCAGCCATTGTGGCCCTCTGGGGAAATGAACCAGCAGATGGAAGCTTTCTCTTTCTCTCTGTGTAACTCTGCCTTTCAAGTAAATCAAGAAAAGAAAGGAAAAAAAAAAAAAAAAAAAAAAGGAAAAGAAAAGAAAAGAAAAGAAAAGAAAGAGAAAGAAGGGGCCGGCACTGTGGCACAGTGGGTTAACACCCTGGCCTGAAGCGCTGGGATCCCATATGGGCACTGGTTGGAGACCCAGCTGCTTCTCTTCCGATCCAGCTCTCTGCTATGGCCTAGGAATGCAGTGGAAGATGGCCCAAGTCCTTGGGAGACCCGGAAGAAGCTCCTGGCTCCTCGCTTCAGATCAGTGCAGCTCCGGCCATTGCGGCCAGGCCTCTCCTGTCTCTGTGTAACTCTTTCAAATAAATAAATAAATCTTTAAAAAAGTTGAGCAGCTGGGACTTGAATAGTAGTCTCTATTCCCTACAGCAGGGGTGGGGAACCTTTCTCTGCGAAGGGCTATTTGCATATTTAATAACATCATTCCAGGGCCATACAAAATTATCAGCTTAAAAATCAGGCTGCTACTGATCTGTTGAATTTCAGGTCCCACCTGTGGTCGACTTATCAGGGCAGACCAAACGCTTTCATGGGCCTTGTACCACTCGGAGGCTGGGTGTTCCCCAATCCTTCCACAGAACAAGCACCGTCACCTCAAAGCCTACAAGAGGCCAGCAGCAGGTAGACTTCAAGTGAGCCAGATCTAAGAGGCGAGCTCCGACAGCTGACGGGAATTCCTCATTTTTCAATACCATGCCAGTCAAGTGGAAGTCTGTCTAAAAGCCGGTATTGGAGGAACACAGATCTCTGACTAGTCTCCAACATCCTCTTCCCCCGGCTCTGTCCTCGCTCTATCCTTGGCTCTATCCTTACCTGGAGCCAAGTTACATTCCCAAGCTCTATGACAAAACTGCATTTCCTACGTGTATTACCTGCATAATGACAGCCAGTCTGTGTCTAAAAGGTTTTCATAAAGGAACTTAGAAATCTAAGACCGAAGTTAAACAGCATAATCCATCAAGGCTAATTTTTATAAATTATGTATAGAAACCAGTTTTTATTTGTTATATTTAAATTAAAAAAACCTCCCAATTTGGTCATAATCTTCAAATACAAGGTATTCTCTAAATCAATTTTGATTAGTTGCCACTGATCTCTTGAAAACTTCTACTTCATTCCAACAAGCCCATTTTAAAAGTAAGAATAGATGTCTCAACAAAAATCTATACTAATGTTCATTTTCAAGATTAAAAAAAAATTAAAGAGAAAGCTCCTGGGGTCAGAGTTGTGGCAGTGAGTTGAAAGCTACAACCTGCAATGCAGATATCCCATTTCAAAGCACCAGTTCAAGTCCTGACTGCCCCACTCCTCAGCCAGCTTGCTACTAATATGCCTGGGAAGGTAACAGAGGATGACCCAATATCTGAACCCCTGCCATCCATTTGGGAGACCTGGATGGGGCTCTGGGCTCCTGGCTTCAGCTTGAACTAGCACTGTGTTGCATTTGGGGAGTGACCAGGAGATGGAAGATCTATCGCTCTCTCTTATCATTTTGCCTTTCAAATAAAAATAAATAAATCTTAAATAAAATAAAATAAAAACCGGGCTGGTGCTGTGGCACAGGGCGGGTTAAGCCACTGCCTGCAGCACCACATTCCATATGGCTGCTGCACTTCTGATCCAGTTTCCTGTAATGGCCTGGGAAAGCAGTGAAGATGGCCCAACTGCTTGGGCCCCTGTACCCAAAACATGGGAGACCTGAAAGAAGCTCCTGGCTCCTGGCTTTAGCCTGGCACAGCCCTGGCCATTGCAGCCATTTGGGGAGTGAACCAGTGGATGTAAGTTTTTTTTCCTGCTTTCTTTCTTTAATTCTGACTTTAAAATAAACAAACAAACAAATAAACCTTCCCAAATCAAGCTGAGCAGCAGTACTACTACACATGCGGACGATATATTTCATCGGCTTCACGCATCCACTTACATAACAGGCCTCCGCTGACCGCCTGCAGCACTGTGAGAATCGGGAAGTAGTACAGCTGGCGTAGATGCTCTTACACCGGTCAGACTTCCCTAACCCGCAGGCGATCTTCTTCACCAGCAGAGGGCGCAGCAGCATCATGAACACCAGGCAGAACGCATAGTAAATAAACACAATGGTGTATCTGAAATAGAGCAAGCAATTTGTAACATCAAACATACATCTGCAACCTTTCTCATCCTCAATCGTTTTTAAATCAAAGATCCTAAAAAAGGTTTCAAAAGAACATTGTTTACACACAGACTATCACAGGTGCAGCAGGCGTGCTCCGATGCCTGCGCTGGGCAGCTTACACACACGCACCAAAGATTCTGAAGTGTTCAAACCCTCTCACCCAACAGTTCAACTTGCAGTTCCTTATTAGAGGGAAACAATCACGGATACATAAAAACTTTATATGAATTTTTATTGAATCACCTTATAATAAGGAAAACTTGGGATGAAAATAAATATCCAACAATCGGAAACTGGTACATTTTAGAGTATACTCATGCTGGAATACTATATAGGCATTAACAATCTGGTTACGATTTGACCCACAGAACAGAGTAGGGAGCTCAGAAATAAACTCACACAGTTACAGCCATGTGATTTCTGACAAGAGTCCAAGAACACAATGGAGAAAGGGCACTGTTGGGACAACTGGATATCATGCAGAATAAGTTAGACCCTCACCTCCCACTACATACAAAAATCAACTCAAAAGGATAAAACTTTCAACATAAGACTTGAAAGTGTACAGCAGCTAGAAGTGAATGTTGGGGAAAACTCCATGACACTGGAGAAGGCAACAGTTTCTTACACGACTCCCAAGGCCCGGGCGACAAAGTGGAGAACAGACAAATGGGCTTACAGCAGACTAAACAGTTTCTATACAGCAAAGGGAACAACAAACAGAGTTAAGAGACAACCTAAGGAAAAAAGGAAATACTGCAAGCCAAGTATCTTATAAGGGGATAGCACCCCAAAATTATTTTATTTATTTCAGAGGCAGAGACACACACACAGAGAGATCTTCCATCCTTTGGTTCACTCCCCAAATGGCGACAACAGCCAGGGATGGGCCAGGCTGAAACCAGGAGCCTTAAATTCCCTCCCAGCCACATCTCAGTGCTGGTCCCTGGATATAATATTTTAAAATAAAACATTCTTATGGAAATATTTAATTGGAAAAAATAAAGATGAAGAAACACTAATCCAAGCACCCCAATAACAATGCCAGTTACTATTAAGTTCCTCTTGTTTGTAAGGCACAGCATATGGTATCTAATATTGTGATTCATGTAGTCCCCACAGCACCTTGTAAGATACCGTGATTCCCACTTTACCAGTGGGAAGACTGAGGTTACAAGAGGCTCTTCACATGTTCAACTTGGCGTCACAGCTGGAAGACTGAGAGCTCTAACCCAGGCTGGTTTTGTTTACAAAGCCTGTATTCTTTCTTCTATATTTCTTCTTCTATTGCTTTTCAGGGACATATAGAAAGGGGTTTCCTTAAAGCTCTCCCTTCAAACAATTCTAAGAAACATATAAAGTTCACTGTGGCAGTGTTTATACATAGTTCACCACCAACACAAAAATACCTTCGCTTCTTTTATACCAGTTGCATTTCTATTACCACCTGTTACACTACGTTTGCATGCCTTGAGAGAAGAAAATAATTTCCACAATCTCCCCCAGTGCCTACAAGCCGTTTCACAAGGCCCGATCTGTTGAAATGAATGAAATCTATAATAATCCACAAAGTTAAACTAAAATGCCTCTCCGCCCCAACAGATACCTACAGTGGGTAGACGGCTTCGTGGGTGCAGTGCACCGTGGTGACGTAGTCGGGGCTCGGGTTGTACAGCATCGTGTACCAGTCCGAAAGCATCAGCACGCGACAGGAACGGATGTTAAGAACCCCAACCGGGTCGCTCAGAAGCAGGGTGATGAGAGCCGCCATGGTGCATTCGAATAAGGCTGTGACGTGTTGGAAAAGCGCACTGGAGCTAGAGGACCGGAAGCAAGAGAGGCCTGGTTACCAGGAACCGTGAGCTTCAAACGGCTTTAGTAAAACACCTCTGTGCTTTGACACACGGATTCTATACGAAGCCTCTTCTGACTGAAAAATCCCCAAACCAAAACATCTTCTAGAGATAACAAAAGCCAAGCATGAAAACCGTCCAAGAAAAGTGTAACCTTATTTTCTAAAAAGAGACAAATACGCATCCCAGGTAACAGTGTGTATTACCCAAATGGGTAACAGAAGAGCAGGAATTAGACCTTCCATCTTTAGTATATGGCCAAATCGTTATTAAAATTTTCTTAAGGGCTGGTGAAGCTGCCTTGCGGCCATATGGGGAGTGAACCAGTAGATGGAAGCAAGCTCTCTCTGCCCCTCTAACTCTGCCTTTCAAGTAAGTAAATCTTTAAAAAAAAATTAAAGATATCTAGGCATTATTTTAAATTATCTTAATACAAAAAGCACATAAAAGGTGACAAGTAACATATATCACTTACAAAGCAAAATAACATAATAAACATTGTATACTCACACCACCTTACCCAGTAACTAAAACAGTCAACAACTTTTATCTGCTTCTGTGTTCCTCCCTTTTCTACACCCCTAGAGTAACCATTGCACTAAATCAAATGACACCGTTACATTTTCTAAAGTTTTTACCCCCACTGTTTGTACGGCTGAGAATCACTGTTGAATTTGCTTGTTGTTGATCGCTACTGCACGAACAGAATCATTTGGGGACTTGCTTTTCCATTCAGAAGTCCATTTCCAGACGCACCCACGGTGCTGTGTACAGCTGAGGTCACTTCCACTGCTGCCACCCGTAGAAGGCCCCACCGTGTAATGACACCAGGGTCACACCACCGTCTATCCACTCTTAGGTACACGTGCGCAAAGGCCCTCCTCAGCCTGCAAACTGAACCTGCACCTTCTTCATGAACATGTTCTCAATTTTAATATAGTTGGCTTCCCGTTTCTTCTACATCTGAAGATAAAAAATGTATGACCCTCAATTTTCTTCTAAGTTTTAAGGTTTTGCTTTCCACATTTAAGCCATTAACTGACCTAGAAGAGGTTTCCGTGTACAGTGTAAGGGTGGATCTAAGGACGTCCACTCCCCCAGCGGTAGCATCGTGTTGAGTAGGCCCTCATTACCCCCCACTAATGTTCTATGCACTTCTACCATGTTAAGCTTCATCTACAACTGGTTTTCAGGTTCTGTTTTTATTCCTGAGGTCTATTAATCTATTGTGTGACAACAGAACATGATAATTCTTCCTATTACACACTTTCTCCTACTTGTTCAGTAATCTTGGCTATTCTTGGCCCTTTCATATAAATTTTAAGATTAGCTTCTCAAATATAAATGTAATTTAAAGGGTGGCAGAGGCCTTTGTTTTTGTTTTTAAAGATTTTATTTATTTATTCGAAAGTCAGAGAGTTACACAGAGAGAGGAGAAGCAGAGAGAGAGAGGTCTTCCATCTGATGGTTCACTCCCCAAATGGCTGCAACAGCTGGAGCTGCACCGATCCAAAGCCAGGAGCCAGGAGCTTCTTCCAGGTCTCCCACATGGGTGCAGGGACCCAAGGACTTGGGCCATCTTCCACTACTTTCCCAGGCCACAGCAGAGAGCCGGATTGGAAGAGGAGCAGCCAGGACTAGAACCGGTGCCCATATGGGATGCTGGCGCTTCAGGCCAGGGCATTAACCCGCTGCGCCACAGCACTGGCCCCGAGGCCTTTGTTTTTTAATTAAACTTGTTTCCAAGTGACATGATTAAAGTTGTGGTGGAAGCTTTCCCAAGGTCAGAAAAGGAGAAAAGGTGGCATCTGTCCTGGGGAAGAAATGTAGCTGTGCCCTGCCTGCCCACGAACGTCCCTGTCTGCGCACATCTAACATCTCAGGTTCCGCTCGTTAGTACAAAGCAATGGTGGTAACCCTTGCCAAACAGCAGGCCGGGTGGCTCAGTGTGAGTGTACAGTCATCAGTAACTAGGTATTCTATCAATGCCTGGGGCCGCCATGTAACATTAGAACGTCCGCATGTAGCCATGTAAGTGAGACAAAGAGGCTAAAACCACATATAAGGAAATACCCCTCTTTGTTCTGGGCTCAGGCTTCCGGATAAGAAATTCCAGCTGGGTCTTAAGCTGGCATAATAAAAGACTATTTCCTGCTAAGAGGCCTTGGTGTCTTGTCTCCTTACACAAATCCTGCTACAATAGTGCTTGTGGCACTGCAAATGGAGTTGCAGGAAAGTAACAAATTCTGTGCTTATCTTACAGCCTCTTTAGTAAACTCACATTATTTCTCATGTCTAGTGGGTAGATGCTTTGGGTTTTTTATCTGAATGTTTCCATCATCCATCATAGCAAATTACTCCAAAATTCAGCGGTATGAACCCACCACTGACTACTTCTATTCTGAGGCTTGCATGGGTTGAACGGGCAGTCCTTTCTGCTCCACGTGATATTCACAGGGGACCACGCAGAGGTGCGATGCGCTGCGGTGTTCAACATGCCCAGCCCATACAGCTACACAAGTGCTGACTTCAGCGTTGAGCACAAGTGGGCCTGCTAACAGGCGCACCCTGCTTCTCCTCTGTGTGACCCCATTTTCCATGTTCTGCAGCTAACGATGACATATATAAGCAAGACTTCTCTTTTTTTTTTAATTATGTTTCAGATATATTTTTCTTCCCAGTTATATGAATCGCTTTTCCATTATTTTTGTAAAACCTGAAGTCACTATTTCTTAAGTCTGCAGCACCTCCACACCCACCCAGTGGAGATCTCCTCCCCCTGCACCTGGGCTGGCTGCCTGAGAAGCTATTACTGACAGCAACGGCTCAGGCTGCCCTGCCAGCAAGCGGTGCTGCTTCTGAGCAGACGGGTAGACGGGTGCGCAGTGTGCCTGTGGCCATCTCCCGAGTCTGAATCTTGGCGGATTCTCAGTAGGTACTACAGGTACAGTATACTTCTCATTCCGCACTGCACAGTATCTAATACAGTATACTTCTCATTCTGCACTGCACAGTATCTATTTTTTATTTTCATCTCCTTTTATCACCCAGTGTTACATTCCATTATTTCTTTGTATTTTTTCTACATCCCTAATTTTAATTGGAACTGATTAACCTATTGACTATCATTTTTAAAAATTATTTATTTGGCAGGTAGAGTTAGAGAGAGGGAAAGATAGAGAGAATGGTCTTCCATCTGCTGGTTCACTCCCCAAATGGCTGCAACAGCCAGAGCTAGGCAGATCCAAAGCCAGGAGCCAGGAGTTTCTTCCGGGTCTCCCACGTGGGTGCAGGGGCCCAAGCACTTTGGCTATCTTCTACTGCTTTCCCAGGCCACAGCAGAGAGCTGGATCAGACATGTCTCAGAGTCTATCTTTCCCAGACTTCCATTATTTCAGACAGGAGGGTCACTCAGAGCCCCGCATTTCCCCAGGACGTTAGAAGGAGAACTCCGGGCCGTCTGACAGACACGAGGGTGGTTAGGAGGAGAACTCCCGGCCGTCTGACAGAGACGAGGACGGTTAGGAGGAGAAGTTCGGGCCGTCTGACAGAGATGAGGGTGGTTAGGAGGAGAAGCCCTGGCCGTCTGACAGGGACAAGGGTGGTTATGAGGAGAAGCCCCGGCCGTCTGACAGAGACGACAACGGTTAAGAGAACTCCGGGCCGTCTGACAGAGACGAGGGTGGTTAGGAGGAGAACTCCGGGCCGTCTGACAGAGACGAGGGTGGTTAGGAGGAGAAGTCCGGGCCGTCTGACAGAGACGAGGGTGGTTAGGAGGAGAAGCCCCGGCCGTCTGACAGAGACGAGGGTGGTTAGGAGGAGAACTCTGGGCCGTCTGACAGAGATGAGGGTGGTTAGGAGGAGAAGCCCCGGCCGTCTGACAGAGATGAGGGTGGTTAGGAGGAGAAGTTTGGGGCGTCTGACAGAGATGAGGATGGTTAGGAGGAGAAGCCCCGGCCGTCTGACAGAGACGACGACGGTTAAGAGGAGAACTCTGGGCCATCTGACAGAGACGAGGACAGTTAGGAGGAGAACTCCGGGCCGTCTGACAGAGACGAGGGTGGTTAGGAGGAGAACTCCGGGCCGTCTGACAGAGACGAGTTTGGTTAGGAAGAGAACTTCGGGCCGTCTGACAGAGACGAGGGTGGTTAGGAGGAGAACTTCGGGCCCTCTGACAGAGACGAGGGTGGTTAGGAGGAGAACTCCGGGCCGTCTGACAGAGATGAGGGTGGTTAAGAGGAGAACTCCGGGCCGTCTGACAGAGACGAGGGTGGTTAGGAGGAGAACTCCCGGCCGTCTGACAGAGACGAGGGTGGTTAGGAGGAGAAGCCCCGGCTGTCTGACAGGGACGAGGACAGTTAGGAGAACTCGGGCTGTCTGACAGAGACGAGGGTGGTTAGGAGGAGAACTCTGGGCCATCTGACAGAGACGAGGGTGGTTAGGAGGAGAAGCCCCAGCCATCTGACAGAGATGAGGGTGGTTAGGAGGAGAAGCCCCGGCCGTCTGACAGAGATGAGGATGGTAACTGCCTTGCTGTGTTGCCTGTGCTCTCCTTTGACCCCCCTGCGTGACCTTCACAGGCTGCAGGCTGACCATGGAGGCCCTGCTGGGGAACACTGAGTCTCCTCCGCCTCTCAGAGCAGCTCCCCTCACCAGCAGTGTCTCCCAGCCGTCCACATCACTCCATGTTCCTGGAGCCTCCGCACGTCGGGGCAGGCCTCACCTTCCACCCAGCCACAGTTTACCAACCTGGCAAACTGTGTCCACAATCGGCTCAGGGTGAGCTCCAGGTTCTGTGAACACTTCCTAGGACTGCTCCTGCTCCAATCTCAGGATGCCCTAACCTCATTTCACCCCGATTCACACACCACCCCCAGCTCAGACCATCCTCCCTGTGCATCCATGCTTGCCCGTCTTATTCCTGCTCAGAGAGCCTTTCAACTCCTCTGTTTAGTGAACTCTAC